CTGTGAATCAACGTCTGTTTCAAAGATTTCCATACTTTACAAAGGATTTAACGTTATCTTATATAAATATGAAAAACTAGATCGAAAATAAACAACTATGATGATTTTCTGTAAAATTTTTTTCTTTCCTTTATGTCGTCAGTTAAAACGTTAAATCTAATTATAGCTGATGCATTTAGATCACATTCTCCACATTCAATACGAAATTGAAATCAATCTTTAGATATAAATAAATAGAGAAAAAACACCAAACTATATAATGATGACTTTTTTTTGACAGTTGTCTTTTTATTTGCTTACAATATCATATATCAAAGTATGAAGCAAAATGCAATTAATCAAACAGACAAAAGAGTCCAATATTGTCTTTAAGTGAAAAAACACTGATTTTATATATCAATTAAATGAACTATTTTCTATGGAGAGAAAGTAAACACTCGTAGACAAATGAAAGACTATAATTTTTAAATATTGCTTATACAATGTGATACACAAAACATACTGTCGATGCTTTCTGAATTTGAATATCATATAAAAATGGTTGATTTCCTATTTGTAGCAAAGATTAGTAAAAGACGAAAAAATATTTCAAACAAAGATTATGTGAATTACGTTCTTTCTTTTTGATGTTTTTCAGATATTAAATACGATTAAATGTACGATCAAAAAGGCAATATAATTTTAATAGTTCGATGAATATAAATCTCTTTGTTTTTATTCGAAAAATATAATATTTACTCTTGCTTTCTCTCTCTCTCTCTCGCTCTTTACATTTGTCCATAGTGACATTTAAATTATTTATGCAAACACATTCTCTCCTTTATGCATTTTTTAGAAGCGATTGATATTTTAGATGTAATGACCTATTGCTCATTTTGTTGTTGCATTCTAGATCAACACGATCATTCTTCACAATCATGAATCGAACAATGATCATAGCTATTCTTTTTTTTACAATTTTATGTATAGAATTGGGTCAAGGTAAAATAAATTTGTTCAATAAATATAATAATTCTTTTTATTATATTAGGTCTTTTATGTTATCAACATGAATATTGCTTAGGCCGATGTCCTACATTGGCATCAAATATTGTTCAATGTCAACCAGGTCAAAATAAATGTTGGGTATGAAAAAAAAAGAATATCTTTTTTCAATAAATATAATTTATTTTTAGAAATTTACTTCACCACTTGGTACAAAGCGTGGTTGTGGTAAGTTTTTAGAATAATATCTTTTTCTTTTATTCCTGATATTGTTATAATCTTTATTTATTAAGGTGATGATCGTTGTAATATACAAATAGATACAGGTAGTTTGGGTACTGCTAATGTATGTTGTTCAAATGATGTTTGTAACTCGGCGATTCAAATGAAAACAACAACAATATTTATAATATTCAGCAACTTCATTGCTTTTATTTATGCATGGTACATTTAGTAATAAATAACATTATGTAAAATTACTTATTTTCTTTTTCGTATTTCTATTGGGCTAAAACGTGTTATTATAATAAAGAAGGAAAAGCTAAAATAAATGATTTTTTTTTTGTTAATGTTTTTTTTCTTATTTGTGTATGAAACAATGTTTGATGATGAGATGAATATTTGCATATTTAGTAAGGACATGCAACTCGTTGATGAACAAATTAGATGATAAAAGCATCAGTATTTGTTTCTCGATTGCTGTTAGTTTTAATCAGACTGAAAAAGAAAGAAAAAGAACAGATATGAGTCTCTATTCATCACTATTCGCATTGTTGAAGGATGAACGTTCTTCGACATCTTCCTTATTTCTTTCAGTTGTCTTCTATTTTTGCCTCGGGCTCACACATCGATTATGTTCATTTTTTTCTTCGTCGTTTATCATCTCACAACAAGTAGTAGATAGGCCCGTAATATTAGTTCTAGTCAATGGTGTAGACCTAGAAAATAAGTATCAGACCAAGGCTGTGAAGGAAAAAGAAAAAGAAAAAGAAAAATAGATACGTTCCATACAGATCTTTCTCTCTCCCTTTTTCTTTCTGTGATAGAGAAAAAAATATAAATGGAATAGCACACCCGTTGTTATTTGTACGCATTTACGCATTTCTTTTCTTAGATAACAACAGCGAATCACGAGAATCTTCAACATGAAATTAATCATTGTTATTGTTACTATTCTTCTTGGTTGTATTACATTCAATGAAGGTAACTTCCTTTTATTTGTTTTTCATTTTAATATTTCATATTTTTAATTGTTTTTTTTTTACTCTTTTCTCAGCTCTTCAATGTTATTCACACGATATTTGTTCTGCGAATTGTCCACAATTGACTAATACAATTAAGACATGTAATAATGATGAAAATAAATGTTATAAAGCAGCATTTCCAGGTGGTGTTAGTCGTGGTTGTGCTAAAGAACGATGCAATGTTCAAGTACGATCAATGTTTTCAATAAAATAAAAAGAACAATTGTTTTTTTTGTTGTTGATAATAGGTCAATGCCAATTCAATAATGGCTAATGTATGCTGTGAAACAGACTTATGTAATTCAGCAATAATACCGAAAATGACAATCGCTGGACTTCTTATGATTATTAGCGTCTTGATTTTTATTCGTATATAAACATCATTAAACTATTGTATTTAACATATTTCAGATAATCTCGCTTTACAGTATCGATATCTTCCTTTTTTTTTCGTTGTTTTTGCGTATTTAGTGTTATATTCTACTTATCATAAATGGTCTTCTTTTTCTTTTTGTAGAGAAAAAAATGGGTAGAATATTTTTAATAAAAACTTTTTCTCTTCATTTATTTTGCTGTGATTTTATTTGATTAATTGAATTGTACGATAAGATCTGTATACTATTTCAATGGAAAAAAGAAATAGACAATACTATTTTGCTTCATTTTTATCTGTATTATTTTTGGAAGACAGGCTTTTTTTTTGCTTTTATTCTTCCTTATTGCAATGTATCATATTAGATCGCAAGGAAGCAAACAGTAAAGACGCATATATAATTATTTTTTCTCTAAGGCTTCTAGGTCATGTGAGTTGAATAAAAAATATCGATGGAGTACTTCCCAATAGAGAAAAGAAAAGAATGTCTAAAGCATTTCTGTAGTTTACTCAGTGATACTATAATCTAGAATTCATTTGTTTCGCAGAAGAAAAAAAGCATAGTAAATAATATTTGATATTTTTCAATCAGGGAAGATAGAGATTTATTTAAAAAGAAAAAGAAACTCAACAGTTTAAAGATTTCCACGAGTTTCTTGGTCACGTTCGATAGCTTCAAATAATGCTTTGAAATTACCAATACCAAAACCCTAAAAATAAAATCAATTTTTCTTTTTTTTTAAACAAATTTCATACTTTAATTCATCTACTTACACTATGATTTCTACGTTGAATTATTTCAAAAAATAATGTTGGACGATCTTCAACAGGTTTTGTAAAAATTTGTAATAGATATCCATTATCATCATAATCAACCAAAATATTTAATTTTTCTATCTATTAAATAAAACAACAAGCAGAATACAATATCAAATATAGAATAAATATATTCATTATTTACGTCTGATAAATCTTCAGCAATATGTACTTTGGAATGTTTAAGTCGTTCTTTTAAATCAACATAATAAGTACTAGGTACTTGTAAAAATTGTGTACCACGTGCACGTAGTTGAGCCACCTAAAAACGAGAACGAAATAACACTTACTTTATTCAAAAATAATCTCGATAAAAGTCACGAGTTATCAAATAGTTAAATAAATGACCTATTGACGTTAACTATTGGTTATTCAAACGATAAAATAAAAATTCTTTTTTTATGACTCTAAAGTATCCTCATAAAAGAAGTTTTTCAACGACGAATGATAATTTGTCTTTATTATGATATTTAGATAAAAATATTTAGTCTATCAAGCACTTACACTTTTTAAAATATCCGCTGTATTTAATGCAATATGTTGGACACCTGCTGAGCCATAATAATCAACAAACTCCTAAATAGAAAAAATATATATATATATAAAATCAAATGAGAAATTCTTCTTTTTTAAAGTTACTTGAATTTGTGATTTTTTCGTTCCAGGTGCTGGCTCATTGATAGGCATTTTAATTGTTTCATTTTGATTTGATACAACAATTGAACGAAGTGATGAATATTGTGTATGAATAACACTATCATCAACTGACCAAAAACGATGAAATTGAAGCATACTTTCATACCTAAATTTTTTTTAAATGATTAAAATACAAATAAAAAGATTCATCACATTACCATTTTGTTGTATTTTCCATTTCATTATCAGGCATATTACCAACAATATGATCAATAAAATCAAGTTTAACATCCTGACTATAAAGAAGCTTTCAATTATAAAAATTAAGAGATTATTTAATTTTTCTTACAGTGTTTCTAATAAAGCATCGTTATTTTTCATTGGATGTACATGAAAATTAGGCAAGAATACACCGGAATAATTTCCTCGATCAATTAATGTATGTGTTGTATCACCATACTATACACAAAAGAAAAATAAATAATATTGTATATTTCAACATATCTCATTTTACCGTTTGAATAGTAGCCATTTTTACTGTACCATGTTCATCAGTTTCCGTCCAAACATCTCTAACAATTTTTCCACCTTTAGCTCGAGCTTGTTCAATAACAGCTTCAATATTATCAATAGTAAAAGCAATATCTTTAACTCCATCACCATGTCGACAAATATGTTGACCAAATTCTTGATTATCAGGTAATAATGGTGATTGAAAAACAAAAAATATTTTATTTTGTTTAACCACATGTGAAACAACATCACGTGAACCAGTTTCAAGACCACGATATGCATAGGGTTCAAAACCAAAACGAAGACAAAACCATCCTGATGCCTAGCAAAACAAAAACAATTTTTTTTGTTTTTTTAATTTAAATCAATATTTTTATTTTTTACTTGTAAAGCATTGCTAACCCATAATGTAATATGATCAAATGCTTGAATATTTTTCCCAATTGACTGAAAAAGAAATGAATATATATTGAAGGAAAAAAAAAAACAGCAACAAAAATATACCCCCATTGTTTTGTTTTATTTCAAGTTAAAGATAAGTCTTCTACAATGAAAAAATATATATTCAATATTTATATACTATACCGCTGATAAAAAAATAACCTATGTGACCTAATTCCAAGCAAGATATCGATAAGCGCAATACGTCCTTCTAGTAGTCTCTCCCAAGATGTGCGAATATAATGATCATTTATTAAAAATACTACGCAATTAGTTTGAAAAGAAACTTCTAAGAGAAAGTGTATATGGCATTCTCAATCGTTTTAATTCTTTTTCTTATCAACTCTTTGCAAAGTACAACTTTCTTTTTTATTACTGATCGATCGAATTTATTTCGTATAAAGTCAAAATAAAATTGCTAGCTTCTCATGTTTATATTAACATGTAGTTTTCATTGTCCCAATACCAATAGATTCAAGACTTTCACTTAGTGTAATGTTGAAAAGCATAAGTATCTCTTAAGAATACATAGAAAATATCTATAGTAGTTATAAAATTCCCACTACTTCAATCATAAAATACCTGTGCTAATGTTTCCTTAGTGAATAGTTGTTAATAGTTATAAGTGTATTCTTAATATATATATATCCAATATTTAAAAACTAAAGTAGGTCATGGAAAGTACTCATTATTAAATTATTTCTTTAACCTTGAACTTTTTTGTCGAAGTGATTTTTTTTACCTGTATTATTTAGCGTGTTTCACGAGCAAAGTGCTGTTTCTTTCGTCTTTTTTGTCCTTTTAAACACACCCCTCTTGTATTGACTTATTCTATCAGGAGACTTGAATTTGATAAGAACGAAATAAAACTATCATTGCTTAGCCATTTGTAAGATATTCGTGTAGATGATAGAATATTCTTTATTCTCGAATGAGATAATATACGATGGTATTATTTTTCATCTTTTTCGTTGTAAAGTATTGTAAAAAAAAGACGCAATTGACCGATGAAATAATTTAATTCCATTACATACATCCGTTCTCAAACTCAAAACTTTCTATTGTTTAACAATTCTATAATGATGCGACTGCATAGTAATTAGAGTATGTCTTCCGCTTTAGCGACATTCTATTTAGTTTGATCAATAGACTGAGAGTATGAGTTGATTTCCTTTTGTTTTGATGCAATGCAAATGTTATAATCATGAGAAAAAAAAAGATTATCTTATTGTTAGTATTCTTAACTTATTCTAAGAATATTATATATATATATATATTTATTCATCTTGTTAATGACCTTGTAAAACAATCTTTATCTATATATTTCTATGATTATTTTTACACCTGTTTCGCCTAAAGTTTCAAATTTCCTATCGATCAATAACTCACACATACAACATGTATAGTTGCTATGGGAAATTAAAATAAATAGTCCATTTAACAATTAAACATATGAAACTAAATTTCTGTCTACTGTCATTTTTTTAAATCGATTATAAATGAATCAAAAGATAATATTTAATTGTTCTTAGAATAAAACGAAGATATGGTCAGACAAAAGAATTGCCATCAATATCATTATCTATTAGTATAGTGACCTTTTTAATAATGTTTCAACCATCGCCCAAACATTTGTTAGTTATGATGTAATTTAGAAGAAAGACTTTTTTTTTGCTCTCTCAGATTACATCATTCATGTAGTTTTTTTTTTTCCATTTTATATACCTATATTATATTTAATTTCAAGAAAGTCAACGTTAAGATGACACGTCCGGAAGGCTCAAGTTTCTTATACATGTGAAAAAAAAAATGACCATTGTAATTTATCGATTAGCTTTTCTTTATGTGATAAATTGTTTATATATACATATATATCTAAAACAACGAATATCGTCATCTGTTCATAGCAAATATGAGTATAAATGATTCATTAAGCCTCAAGCAAAAAGTAAAAGAGACGTGCGATCAATAAGTACAATAATATGAGTTTAAGATATATAGATAAATCAAGAAACAACATATACTCAATAATGTCAATTACACTTGAATGCGATTTGTACTTTGCTTTTTTCGTCAAGTATTTTTTCTATCAGATCATATTGCAACATATTATACTAATCTCTTAACTTTGTGTCTCGACAAATATTTTCTTGCATAAACATTACCATAGAACGTTCATTTATTTAGCATTCTTATCGATTGTAATAACAATTCTGAATCACGTTCACATATCTAAGCTACTTATAGCTTTTACATAAAGAAAAAAGGGCTAAATGCAACTAATGATGATGATGATTTGTTGTTGTACATCAACTCGTCTCGACGTCCTTTAACATCAATTTATTGCTGTCTTTTCCTTCCGTGAATTTATTTAGTTATAAGTTATGTCTCGATGGAAGTAATATAAATATATCAACGATAAGATGCCATATCTTTTTTTTTTGTTTTTCTTATATTACAATAGTCTTGTTGAATGTTTTCAAACGACAAATGTATAAATAGGATCATCGTTGTTCGAAGCTAGTTAATTATATCATACTGAGCAAAACGGCTGTTGTGTGCATATGGTATGTCATCCTTCTAACTCTCTTGCTTTTTTTTTTTGTTCATTCAATTAGACAATAGTCTCAGTTGCTTCCCCAAATATGCATAACATTAACTACATCGTATGTTTTGTCTCTCTCTCTCTCAAACTAAATCAAGTAGTAAAGAATATAATCTTATTTAACAATACGTATACTCAACAGCTGAACAACTTCTCATATCATTGTATTGATATCTTGTCGAATATAAAACAGGTGAATGATGCAACTGTGTTGATGAAAGAGATAAATTAACGCTAGAATTCACCACCTACTGATCAATTTTTCTTTAATATTTAATATCCTTTTTCACATCAGTTGTTGTTCCTATGATTATTATTACTATTATTACGTAAAAGGAAGAACAGTGTACGATTTACATCCTCATATTTATCATTTTTTATAAGCATGAAAATAGATCATTTGATTGTTTTATGTAAAGTATTACATATCAAATTGTTATCTAAAAGCAAGAAGAAGAAGAAAAAAAAAAAGAACTGTGAAAAAAAAAAGAAAATAGTAGCAGTTGTATTTTTCTGTGAAGAAAAACGAGAAGACATGTCACTTGACTGTTCTCGGTTACGTCAATTTGTCTGTCTGTACTAATCTATTTTGTATGAATACTCTCTTCCTTTTTTCTTTTCATTATTATTGGTACCACATTGTACGTATATGATGTATAGGGAGAACGTAATCGAAATGCATATACTTACTTAAATAGTACATAAGAGATGATCGTGTCCGATGAGTCGATGAGCACATCTCTCTAGATAGAATTGAGTTGGCATTGCTTTTGCATGTTCAAATCTTTTATTTGATTGACACGCGTGTCACACAAAACCGTTGATAAAGAAGCACGTAGAGAGGAAACAAGAAAGAAATTTCATCTCGAGTATATTATGCAGGTGAGAAATAAAGACTAGCTGATTAACACTTCTATAAACATACATGTGTGCCATTGTGAAAAGCATGGTGACATTTTATAGGTAAGTAAAGAAATCGTATCTTCTCTTTTTTAATGTCTTTATATATATGTGTTTTTTTTTCTTCGTTCGCATAATACTATGTTATCAAACAAGAGTTAGATTGTGTATTAATTTGAGTTATAATGATCATCTACTACAAGGGAAAGCCGGAAAACATCCACCCAAAAAAAAAACATCATGTAACTATGTCTGATAGTTAATTTATTGTAAGGTCCATTATTCTAATAACCAAGTTCATCTATCTATCTCCATGTTAATTGTTCGTATGTCCTTGTATCAATGTTGATTATGATGTTGCATGTACGATAATGATTGACGATCATTGATGCAGATGAATTGAAAGAGTAGGAGTGAATCTTTAAAGCAAGTAAAATAAGAAGCAAAAGGGTGTGTGTGATGATCCAAAACGACCTTGTATTAAGGAAGCAATATATGCCGTTTTCTATATTTCTATTCAAGCAAGTCTTATGCTTGACTATATTATAGTATTGTTGTTATAGGGCATCTTTTGTTAATAATAGATCATAACTTTATAACCCATTGACGAATAGATTGTTTTTTTTTTTTTTCTATAAATTTTTTACTTTAATTAAGATTGCGTTATCTTAAACGTTTGTTTTTTTGTTCATTGAAGTAGTCATAGATATAGATCGATCATGAAATTGTCGGTAAAAATAGAAGAGAAAAAATCAAGTAAGCATATAAACATAACTGGCATGGCATCTCTGGTTAATATCTCAAGCCTAGACTTAATTATTCACTTTTGCTTGTGTTCATCATAAATAGCAGACACACAGTCAATTGTAATCTATAATAGAGAGTGTGTGTGTTTTTGACAATGATGAATCATGAACATCGATATATGTATAAATGTAATATGATCGATGTATTGAACAGGTAAATGTATAATGTTTTTTTTTTTCAAGAACTACTTGAAAATTAAATATTACATATTCCCTATGTGGTGTGTATCATCAAAGGAAGAGAGAGAGAGAGAGAGAGAGAGAGGAAGAGGGAGAAAAAGATTGTCGTAGTTCTTTCCTTCTTCTTCTTTTTTGTTTTCTCTATGAGAGTAAGAGAACGAGCATGAGTATGTTCGTATATACATCATTCATACATAAACGGCAGTGTGTCTGTCTTAGAAGTTGTTTTAGATGAGATGCAACCATTTGTAGAACAACCACAATTTTTACTTGAACCAAAATCTTCATTTTTATTTGAAAATCTTCCTGTTAAACTTGAATGTAAAGCTATTCGAACAAGACAAATATTTTTTAATTGTGATAATAAATGGGTACCTGAACATGAACATATGAAATCCATTGAAACAAATGTAAGTTTCGACTTAGAACAAAAAAAAAATAATTCTCAAACAAATATAAATCTATAGGATAAAGGTAATGTTATTATTATAACAATAATTCAATTAAAAGCAGAACAAGTTGAATCAAATACATATAAATGTTTTTGTCAAGCATGGTCAGCAACAGGTGGAACACTGAAATCTCGAACAGCAACTATTGAACTAGCTTGTAAGTATATGCATATTTTCATATCACAATGAGATGAAGATTAGCAGTTTATTCTCATATTAATACAAAGATTAGTTCGATTCTGTACACAAATTCAAATGATAAAATGAGATCTATTCAAGGTTGTAAAACATTTTACATGAATGAGTTGACATTTTTCTTTTTGTTCAAGTAACACTTATTAAAGAAAACTTATCCATTAATCGGATCAAATAGAATAAAAAAAAAAAAAGTCGAATGTTCTAATTTATTGATGAAGGTTGCATTGATGTATATGTACTCATTAAAAGAACCAAACTATATAATGATTAGTATGTGCTATCCTTGACGGCAAAAAGACAAAGAGAATAGTTTTTTATAATATAGATTGACACTCAAACGAAAGAATAATAATACTTAAACATACATCTATAACAGAGAGAATAATAGAGTAAGAAAACCCATTAATGTTTGACTTTAGTCATTCTCTCAGATGTCAAATCATCAATAAGAAAAAGAAAACTACCGCTCATTGAACATATGTTCTTTAGTTGACATATCTATATAAATATTTGATTATTTTAGACTTGGATAAAATATTTGAATGGGAACCATTAAGAACCGATAGTATAATTAATAAATCAGCTGAATTACGTTGTCGTCCACCAAGTGGCAATCCATATCCAAAAGTAAGATATTATATAATAAGCAATTGCTTACTATTCATCGTTGTTATACACACAAATAAATAGATCATTATCGTTCATCAAAAAGACATGTGGAGGTTAATAGGACACAAGGAAAAAAATGATTCTTATTTGTACATGTATATATATATATATATATATGTATATGAGTCCATCTATTCTACACACTTGATCGATTATTCAACTGATACTCAACACCTTAAAAGGTGGTATGCCTGTCAATCTTTAAAAAAATTATATCGTGTCGCTTGCTATTTAAAACATAAGAGAGAGAATTAATAGATAATAGTTCTGTGCCATTTTCACACATTAATGAATGAAAGCGATAATTTGAATCAACAAGGAAATGGAATTTTTTCTAAATGCAAACAAACATGCAAAAGATTATATTCGCTTGATTTTTGTGAAACATGATCTAAAAGGGGCATTGAAGTATGGAGGAAAAAGTTTGAACCTCCTTTCTCTACAGAATATGACTAGAGTCTGTCGTATATAAAATTTTCGGACTTGATCCAGCTGCATTTTGATAATTACAAATGAAATTTTTCAAACCAAATTGAATAGTGGTCCAGAAGATATGATATAGTTTTTTTTCCCGTTTTTTGTATTCGATGACGAATATCCATTTAAAAAAAATGATGGGTGGAAAGTTTTTGAATTTAGAAACATGGAAAGAAAACACATAGAATCGTATATTACAAGTTTTTTCGATTTGATTTTTTTTTAAAGATTTTCAATCGACCTTTTTGAAAATCAACGCATCCTGTGAGGTTAGTGGTCCGATGTGACTTTATCTCCTCTTTCCAAATGGTGAAAATCACAATATTCTATTCTGTTTTTATTAAAAGTTACTTCAAAAATATCCACCCATCTGTCTTATTGAAATTCACATTAGTGTGTACCCAACATATTTTTCAGACGACTAGAGTCCATCGAGCTCTGACCGTGACAATCATTTCAGTAAAATAGATAGAATAAAGTAATCTCCATGCAGTTAGAAATTCCACTAGGATTGTGCTAATTGCGTTATTTTTTGTTTTTAGGTAACATGGTTGAAAGATAATCAACTAGTTGAAATAAATCGTAATGGTCGTTTTATACTTTCAAATGAAAATTCTTTACTTATTGCACAAGTAAAAAAAAGTGATGCAGGAAATTACACATGTGTTGCAACAAATATTGCTGGAACTTATTCAAGTGAACCAGCTGAATTAATTGTTCATGGTATAGAAAAAAAAAAAAAAACAAATTATAAATTGTTTTTTTTTTTTTTTTTTGAAAAAAACTTCTTTCTTTTAATGTAGATGATCGTGGTTGGTCAGAATGGCAAGCATTTTCTGAATGTAAAGGTATACCATGTAGTATAGGTCGTCAACGACGAATGCGTACATGTCTTAATCCACCAACAATAACGAATAAACCTAGTTGTGATGGAGATCAAATACAAGAAAGAGAATGTTCTGTATCTTGTCAAAAAGATTTTTCAACAGGTGAAATTATTTTATCAAAAAAGGTATTTATAATAAATTTTTATTTGATTGTTTTTTTTTTTTTAAGATACTGATTTTTCTGAATGGTCACCATGGTCAAATTGTATTGGTATTCCATGTCGAATAGGTAAACAACAACGTATTCGAACTTGTTTAAAACAATCTCTATGTCATGATAAACAAATACAAGAACAAGATTGTTTTGTACCTTGTTTAAATAAAAATCTATCATCATTAGCATTACCTCGAACATCATTAAACGGTAAAATGATTATATGTTTAGTTTGTTTGTTTTTTTAAATCTTGTTTTTATTTCAAGGTATATATTCAAATTGGACAAATTGGTCAGCATGTCGATCATCGGATTGTACATCTATACGTACACGAAAATGTTTAGAAGAACCATGTCTTGATTATTTAATTGAAAGTCGTCCATGTAAAGAAAATTCATGTTCAAGTAAAGATTATTTTCGTCATTGTTAAGTAATAATATTCTTTATTTTTTTTCGTTTACAGATACTAATAATCCTGGCAGTCAAGTATCTGCCCTCAATGTGATCATTTATTCATCGACTGGTTTCGGTGCTCTCATGTTTCTTTTATTAGCTATTCTATTTGTTATTATATATTGTCGTCGTCGACAACGTATAACAAGAAAAAAAGGTAAAAAGAACACAAATGATTATATAATCTTCATATCGGACAATTGTCTTCTTCTTCCGCTTTTTCTTTTTTTTTTGATATGAGGTCTAGACTAAACAAAGATGACATTTGTGCACTTATATATTCGAGTTTTTTCCCTATCGTTAGTAAGGCAACAGATGAACATTAAAATGAATATAATTCTTTTTTTGTTTCTTTCGACGCTTTAAATCGAAATCAAACTGAGANTTGCAGCCAAGCTTTTCTGAACACATTAAAATTGGCCTGCTCGAACATTAATTCTCCGTCTATCGTATCTGATAACGCTAATAAATATTTATTCCAATATCTTAAACATCTATCTTCTAACGATATTTCATTCAATGCGTAAGAAAAAAAGTGATCATGCCATTGCATGCAAAACAACACTCTTTTTAAACACGTATAATAAAAATGGTTTAAATCTTGTTTACAAAGATGACATTTGTGCACTTATATATTCGAGTTTTTTTCCCTATCGTTAGTAAGGCAACAGATGAACATTAAAATGAATATAATTCTTTTTTTTTTGTTTCTTGCTACGCTTTAAATCGAAATCAAACTGACAGATAGCAATCTGTATGTATGTGTGAATGGAAGAGAATACCACAGCGATAATTGTAGTATGTGTTGGTCAGTCACAGCATCAGCCGGACACTTGATAGATTAACGAATTGAAAAGGGAAAAGGAAAGAGAAAAATGCCTGTCATTGGTACCATGTGTATTAATTTGTACAATAAGTGAACAATTATTAAAAAACAATTTTCTATGGAATATATAATGAGAAGAAAACGAAATGAACAAATGCAGGTTATTTCTCAGGTCACGCACATCCGTTAACAATATATTACCTGAGGCTATGAGATCGAAACTAATTCATTAAAAGTCTTTAACAATCAACATGTCTTCTTACATGTGATACCATTCTGATTCTAATGCTAAAATAAGCAAGAATAAATATAAACATCCGGATCCGAAATTTTTTGGATTTAATGAGTTCTAATTGTGGTCTTATCGGCATTCTGCTATAATTCTCTCATTTATTTGTAATATGGAACTTTATTAATTAGAGAATAATAATAAATTTTGCTTTTCTAGGTCTATCAACATATATTCCATCAAAAACAACATGTAGTAGTTGTCGTATTGAAAAAAATGAATATCCATTTTATTATTCAATACAACAAGATACAACATCAACAAGATCTGGTACATCACATAATAATTCTATATCATTAACAAATTCTGATCTTGGTATTGAAAAAGAAAAATTATTATTTTTAAATGAATCATCATTAAATAAACAATTTCATACATTAAAATCCTTAAATCAAAATCATTTAAATATAATCTATGAAAAAATTCTACAATCTTTACCAGAAAATATTGATTTACGTTATTTAACTGTATCTATACTTAACAATACAGGTTGTTATCTTGAAATTCCACATACAGGTGTATCATTAACAATACCTGAAGATGCTGTTTTACTTGATCAAGATCATTTAATATTTCTTGCTTTACTTACTATTGAAAATCAAATGCCTATATTAAATAATAAACAAACACGTTTATCACCTGTTATACTTATTGGTCCATCTGATATAACATTAGTTAAACCAGCTGTACTTTCATTTCAACATTCAGCTATATTAGAATCATCATGGAAATTAAATTTAATGTTTACTGATGATATTATTCATTGGAAATCAATATTAACATATGGACAAGAAAATATTTCGACACCAGTTTATTTACAATTTAATAATGAACAACAAGCATTTGTTTTAGTAAGACAAAAATCTTTTTCAAAATGAAAATTCAAAAAATGTTTTTTTTTTTTTTTTTATTTTTCAATTTTAAGTTTGAAACAATGGGTGCATATACATTAATTGGTGAATCAATAATAAATAATCATGCATCAAAATATCTTCAAATGGCTTGTTTTTATAATCAATCAACATTACGTCTTCGATTTTTTGATAAAACATTAGATGCATTTGAACGTTGTTTAAATGAAGAATTTGCAATGAAATATTTTCTATGTGATCAACCAAAAGATTTTATTTTACATGATTATCAAGATCAAATATGTATTAATGTTGATTTAGAATTATCAACAATATCAAGAATTAATATTGGTTATAAAGAAATTTCATTAATATCATTTTGGACAAATCGTATTGATCGATCATGTTTTATTTTTATTATACCAAATTTACAAATGAATAATGATGATAGAATAAATAATTTTATGGATCAATTTTCTATCCATATTGATGTTTATCAACCAACGATACTTGAAAATGCATTACATACACGTTTAATTATTAATACACATCATGTAAGTTTCTTATAAATGATAAACAAAATAGACAAAAACAAAGATACTACATTCACTACAGTATTTTTTAATTAAATGCTATGATCTCTCTCAGAAACACAGAAAATTTATTTTCGAATCTCAATTTGAAACTTTGCATAGAGAAAAGGTTTTTTAGTGTACTCAAAAAGTGAGTACACTACTAAAATCGGTCTGTGTGTCCGTCCGGCCGTCCGTTTACACGATAACTTTCGAAAGGAGAGTCAGATTGCGATGAAATTTTCTACACAGTTTAGTCTTGACAATATCTCGGTCGAGTTCGAAGATGA